TCCCCCGCGGGCCGGGCGCTCTGGGAAGCAGCATCCTCACCCCGCCAGTGGCGCACTGCAGCCCAATGGCGCAGCCAGCCCAGGAGCCTGCCCCCCGGGGCAATTAGCCCCCCTGCCCGCAGCCAGCCCCAGCACTTGGCAGTCGGCGGCTTGGCGTCACTCAGGCTTCCCTCCATGTGTGGAATAAATTTTATGTGCACCAAGACGTGCAGATGTGCACCAATCGAAACACACGCTGCTGTCTGTGGGAGGCTGCAGGATCTGTTAAATCAGCTGACTCGCTCCTGGGGGGCACTCAGCTCACAGGGAACACTGGTTGCCTCCCAGACCATCCTGGCTCTGAGCCACTGATGGACCTATCTTCCAAGAATGTAGCTCTGTTATTTAACCCCGGGACACTTTTGGCCTTCGCAACATCCCCTAGCCCTCAGTTCCACAGGGTGACTGGGTTGTGTGAAGAAATCCTTTGAAACTTGCTGCCTATTAAATTCCTTGGGTGTCTCCAGTGCTTGAGTTACGTAAAAAAGAAAGTAACATCCCTATTCATTTTTGCACTGTAACACACAAGGTAGCCCGGCATTCACACCTTGCTCACTCTTGTAACCATCCCTGGATAGAGCAGTGGTGGGCAGAACTCAGCAGTTTTGTCGACGCTGGTAAAGCTCATTTCACGAGGCATAACGCGTTCTGTCGACAGAAAGCGTTATTGCATGTAAACTGTCCTTGTGTCTACACTGCCATGTCAACAAAGCAACTTGCTTTGTTGACAGAACTAAATGTAGTGTAGACGCTCTTTGTCGACAGAAGCTTTGTCGACAGTATGTGTCGACAAAACCCTGTAGTCTAGACACACCGGCTACGTCTATACTGGCCACAATTTCCGGAAAAGGGATGCAAATCAGGTAAGTCAGGATAGGGAAATCCGCGGGGGATTTAAATATCCCCCGCGGATTTAAATAAACATGTCCGCCGCTTTTTTCCCAGCTTGGGGAAAAGCCGGAAAAAAAGCGTCTGGACTGGCACGATCCTCCGGAATAAAGCCCTTTTATGGAGGATCTCTTATTCCTACTTCAAAGCCCTACTTCAAAGTAGGAATAAGAGATCCTCCGGAAAAGGGCTTTATTCCGCAGGATCGCGCCAGTCTAGACGCTTTTTTCCCGGCTTTTCCCCAAGCCGGAAAAAAAGCGGCGGACATGTTTATTTAAATCTGCAGGGGATATTTAAATCCCCCGCGGATTTCCCTATCCTGACTTACCTGATTTGCATCCATTTTCCGGAAATTGTGGCCAGTGTAGACGTAGCCACCCTGATTGTACACATCAGCTATGAGAGCCATACACTACCTCTGCATCCAAGTAGAGTAGTGCTACAGTTCAATTAGCATAACCCACCAATTCTAGGTACGCAAGCACAGTTAGCACAAATACCCTATCCTAGGAGAGCTTCTTGGTTCCAATTTTGTGGCCCACAGAGATGGTCGACCACTCACACAACCTCCTCACTAGCTTCGGTATAGACTATGCCTTGTGAGGTTGTATCTGAAAATATAATTTGATGGTCATTATTGTCCTGGTAAAATATGTGTGGCAATGTATTTGAAGTTTAGGTTCTACTGTATGGTGTTATTAATATGTTCCAGCTGAGGCTCGCAAACAGTGTCTCTGTGTCTTACTAAGGAGTGTGTATTCTGCTTAATTTGCATTTAAGCAAAAAACAGAGGCAGCAAGCAGGAAGGGGGTAAAGGAAGCTCAGACAGGTGAGGGAAAGCAGCCAGGATCATCTCTCTCAATCAACCTTTCGTTTCTTTTGCCCAGCTAGAAATGTTTTTCAAGCGAGGGATTGAGACAAAAAACAAATGAACATACCAAACAATCCCCTCTATCCTCCTGCCCATCATGTTCATAGCACCAGACAAGCATGGAAACATTCATCGAACTCTGGGAGAGGGCCTACCTAAGAAGTTTGATCAGTAAGACTGCTGGAAGCATATGGTGGGTGAGACATGGTGCTTGAATGCGATAAGGCTTGTCTACACTATCGTTTAAGGCAATGTAATTTACGTCACTCAGGTGCGAAAAAGCTCCCCTCAAACAATGTAAGTTAATTTAAATGTAATTTACGTCACTCAGGTGCAAAAAAGCTCCCCTCAAACAATGTAAGTTACAGTAACGTAGTGTTTCACAACATGCGGCGTTGCCAGGCAATACTCTTCCGCTAACAGTTTCTGCCTCTTGTTGAGGTGGAGTAATCCCATCGGCATAACATCTTCACCAGCGACGACCGCAGCACAGCTGTATCATTGCAGCTGTATCAATGCAGTGTGGGAGTCTAGACTAGCCCATACCTAGGCACCAGCAGCACTTTTATTATTTTATCTAATTCAGTGTGTTTAAATGGAAGCGCTTGGGAAATTCCATTTGGTATGGCAAGTTGCATGCATGCTATTTTTTAAAGAAATAATGGACTTGATATAAACTCGTGTTGTCCAAGAGAGGGCTGGGTAGGGAGCATACAATTCTGAGGGGAATCAATTGCCAGAAAAGGACACAACGCGAACAATGGCAGCCCACTGTCTATGGTAGGCTCAGTGCAGTTCATATCCAGTCAGGAGTGAGGGAGGACAGCTGCTCTTCATGATTTCAATTCCTACTTCATACAGATTCTTAACAGGGCTAGTCCCCCCTCAATGCTATGGAACACCCCCACCTCCCAAAAAAGCAGCACTTGGCGGGGTGCGAAGAGAACCTATATTCAGGTTCCAAAGCACGTGAGCTCTGCCCCTTCTCTCACTTTCCCCATACCATCTCACCCCTTCCATTTAAGATTTCCTCAGAAATACAGAATACTGACTACAGCTATGCCACAACTCTCAAGGTGCCACATTAGAGCCTACTTAGACTTTTAAAAACACGCACAGCCCACTGAGTCATTCAATTAATAGAACTGCAGTGGAATGGTGCTGATTGACACTGCACCATCAGAAGTAGCTCCAAAGATGATGTGTCCAGGACTGTAAAAAAAAAGATACAAAACTTGCTGTGAGTGCCTCCACAATACTATAGCCTACAATTAAGCAGATTCACAACCACAGTGCAGAAGACTAGATGGGATTCTGTACAGAAGAAAAAACAGGATTCCATTCCACTACACCCTTTTTATTGACAAAAGGATAACGGAGATTTTCAGACGCTGGAGAAGGAAAGTACGAATCATGGTAACAGGTAGAAGCTTCTACTGGTCTTTCAATTCCTTCAGTCTTCTGATGGCAGATTTCACTGTCACTGCCGACGTGGTGCTGGAAGAAAAAACATCGTGTCATTCCTGCAGTGAAGCAACTAGCAAATCCATTGTACTCCCCATCCATTTAAGTTTACAAACTGAAGAGAAGCAGTTATTACTCGGTTCAATTCCACTTTAATATCCCATGACACAACACATCTGAGACGGAGCAAGCATACGTAGCTATTTCTAAACTGCGCTAAAAATTCTGAATTTGATGACTCTGATATTAAACAAGTCATCAAAAAAGCAACAAAAATGTTAAACTTTGCTTCAACTACCAGACAAAGTTAGATATGTTTCCTTACTTATAGGTCCAGGCCCCACCAGCTACTGTCTTCATACAGGATCCGCAATGCCAGATACCTACAGCTTTCCTCTTCATTTTGGTCTGTAACACAAAGTGTTTATACGCTTTCAATCGAAGAAACCAAGAAAACCAGACATCTTTGTTCAGTCCAAATGAATGACCTTCCAATATTATTCCAAAAACAACTCAATGAAAACAGGATATAAATGTTAACTTTTCACAACAGCACCATTTCCAACCAGAGTCAGAAGAAATATGAAGACAGCAGACTTTCCAGATTTCTTGACATAGGCCAACTTCAGTAAAAGCATTTACTCAGGGAACGTCTACACTACTGCATTAAGTCGACCTAAAGTACACAACTCCAACTACATGAATAATGTAGCTCAAGTCAAAATACCTTAGAGTTGAGTTAATGCGGGATCTACACTATGGGGGATTGGGTGTTCAGGTTGATGACAGAAACTCTTCCGTCGACTTACCTTACTCTTTTCATTGGGAGCAGAGTATACAGGAACTGACTGGAGAGTTCTCTGTGGTCAATTTTGCAAGTCTTCATTAGACCAGCTAAATCGACTGCTGGTGGATTGATCTCAGAGCCTCAATCTTGGCTGTAGGGTAAACGTGGTCTCAGGCAGATACTACAGGGTGCTCAGCACATTTGAACGAGGCCACTTTAACTGTAGGCATCTGAATCAGAAATTGGTGGATAAACTACTAACGCACGGAGCGAGTAGTCTTTCAAATGTCTGAGATCTGAATTCAAAACTTAATTTTGGTATGAGATCAAGTAGATGGTTTCATACCAGTCTAATTCAAGAGATCCAGGCTGGAATCTAAAATGTTGTTTCTAGGAAAAACTTGAGGATTACAGAGTTTTAACCTGAGAATTACAGGGTTAGTCTTTAAAGCGCTACTAGACTATTTGTTGTTTAAGTTTTTCCTGTTACAGACTAATTCAGCTACCCCTCTGAGGGTTTTAACAGCCAGAGGTACATGAAGAGTGAATAATTTTATCTTATGTCCCTTTATTAGAGGTCTAACATTTTCTTTTCACTAGCACCACTATGCAACAGTGAAAAATACCCTGAAACTATGTTAACTGAATTGCCACAAAAATATGTAACCTGAAACACGGTAAATCTTTTCAGATAACATGAAAAGGTAGGGATTTTGCAAAAAGGCGTAACCTTTAGATCTCTGAAAGTTGTGCACAATTCAAACAACACTTATCGACAGTCATTAACATGTTATATATTAAGAGGTGGAGAAATCCAAAGCAGAATTCCCATTTTTAAATTTCAACCACTGTAAACCTCTGAATTTGTTGGTGTGAATCCTGGGGCTCTTACCTTTCCACAGAAGGAGCAGGTATACTTTGCATGCTGGCTAATTTCAATTTTCTTTACCATTTTCCTGAGAGAAGCTCCATAACGGGTACCATATTTACCCACAATCCCAACTTTCTTGGTGCGCTTTGCCTGTCAGGATAGAAATCACCACACATAGCTTAATTAAAACCAGAGACTGGTTAGCGGTTTATTAAACAGCAGCCAAAGAAGTAAAACAAAATTACATGCACACTGCTTTCATCTATTTTAATTAATTATGTAACAGTACTTTTAGAGAATAGGTTCCACAAAAATGCTGTATAAAAACATCAGTGTTCTTGACTGCAGTCACAGACAAGATCCCTGTAAGCTGTGCACTTGGGTAGTCCCTCAGGAGAATTTCAACTGCCCCCCAGATGATTAGCAGTGTGCCCACAGCTAGGTTACAGGTTTCTATTGGTGGTGCACATTCACACATGCCATTTATTCTGCACTAGGGATGTAAAATCCCATTTAATTAGATAACTAGTTAAAACATGTTTAACCAGTTAAACGGGTGGGAGGGCTGTTCCAGCTTAGCTGGAGCAGCTACCATCAGCAGTGGGCCAGCCATAATCGTCCTGGTGGTTATCTGTAACTGGTAAGCATCACCATTTTCACTCCTATTCTGCACATGAATGGAACAAAAGTCTGCACATGGATTAGGGACGTAAAAAAAACCCATATAAAAATAATAACCTTGTAACCAATAAATGCCTTGTCGGCTACATGGTTAATTGTGGGGCTGCCGACTGTGCATGCTCCGGCCGGGCACCAGTTAACTGGTTATATTCCTAACGTGGATGGAAAAGATTAGAAGAACACTAATTGGGGCCTAAATGAGGTTTCCATCGTCGCATGTCTACAGAGCCTTCCAGCAGATGTTCTCTGGATCACACTGACAGACAAAGTCTTGCAAAACGAAGTATTTTTATCTCCAAGTCAGATATAAGGGGAAAAAAACCAGACAAAGACTACACGACCTGCTCAGATTCACACAGCAAGTTGGTTTGACTAGTCTTGCCATTACCCATCATCTCAAGTTTAAACTTCAAGCCCCTGCTTTCAAAGTCTGCAATTCCACTCTGGCCTCCATCTCAGGTCTCCTCTCTAAACCCATTCTTCATCAATCCCTTCACGCTTTCAAGGATGCCAGCTTCGATTCCCAGTCCTAACACCCCAGGCTCAGAATGACCTCCCAAATCCTAGCACACCAGGGCCTATGCTTTCTCGTTCACATCTCCTGAAGACCCTCTCTTCCTCTGCAAAGCCTAGAAAGAGCTCGGGATGTCAACATGCAGTCAACTATAGGATTAATGGATAAGCCTCGGCTTAATCAACTACATGCATTCCCCACCCTTGCTGCCTCTGTATCAGAGGCAGCAAGGGGGGAGGGAGCAGGAGCTGGGGGAAACAGGCTTAAGAGGGGGGAAGGCAGGGGAGGCTGCCAGGTGCAGCGGGCCTGAGCTCCCCACAGACAGAGGCTGCTCCATGATACAGAAGCAGCAGCATGGAGTAGCAGGGGATTTCCCCAGGAGTGGGGCCAGTGCACCGTGGCTGACAGCCCCACCCCTGGGGACTATAGAATAGTTGAGTAACCGATAAGAACTCATGTAGTTACTCAACTATTCAATTACCTGATATCTAACATCCCTACAAAGAACATGAATGGAAATCAGAATACAAAGAGGAATCTGTTACTCTCTCCCTGGGTTCTCCTTGATCCTCTTCCTGACCCTAAAACCCCATAAAGGGAACAGCTTTGAGATCAGTGCCTGGTACCTTCCCAAGGTACCTTCTCACTGTCAGAACTCAACAGAGATGAGCCAACAGCAAAGTTCAGTGCCGAACCTGTTTCCTGGCTCTCATCATCATCCTGATCACCGGACAGCCAGACTCAGGGAATGCAATGATGCAGGCTGACCCACCCGCCAGCCCACAATCAGGTAGAGACGGCAAGAGAAAGCTACCACCGGGGAAGTAAAATCCCATTTATTATATGTTTAACCAGTTAACTGGCCCACCATGTCACAGGTGAGAAGCCCCTGGAACAGCCCCCGCCACACAGCAGGCTCAGCCGGGCGTGGGTTAACTGGTGACCCATAAGCATCACCAGGTAAGGATGATGCTTATTAGGTTTACCTGTCTACACCCCCTCCCGGCACCCCAACTTCAGTAGCGGGGTTCTACCCAGGAATGGGAAGGGGGCTGCGAGGAATGCCCCCAGGCCAATTGGGCCAGCAGGTAAAGGAAAACACTTACCTACCCTGCTTCCTCCAAATCCCTCAGCTCTGCCCACGCCCCCCCCCCCACTCAGCCCAGGCCCTGCCCTCCTCCTTCTGCAATACCCTTTCCCTGTGGCCCAGGCCCTTCCCCTACAGCCCAGGCTAATGGCTCCCCCAACCCCAAGCTCAGCAGTTCCTAACCACCAGGCTGCGAACCGCTGGCTGCCGGGCCGCAGCGGCTCTGGGGGCCGGGGTACATCACCCAGCACCTCCCCTCCCACCGCGGTTGTTGGGAGAGGCATGTCCCGCCCCACCTCTCAGCCAACCAGTGCTGAGCAGGGCAGGGTCTCCTCCCAGAGGTGGAAAAGCAGTTCGCTGTACGGAGCCGGGCATGACAGCCTTAGAGCAGCCCCAACACAGGCAGCATGGTCCAGCTGGTAGCAATGTGGGGCTAGGTGAGGTGGGCAGGGCAGGGCTAGGTGAGGGGGACAAGGCAGACACTGGGGGCTCTGGGGCAGGGCTAGTGCTGGAGCAAAGCTAATTCTGGGGGGCTCTGGAGGCAGGGCTAGTGCTGGGCAGCTCTGGGGCAAAGCTAATAGTGGGGGGCTCTGGAGGTGGGGCTAATACTGGGGAGCTCTCGGGGCCAGGGCTAGTGCTGGAGCAAAGCTAATTCTGGGGGGCTCTGGAGGCAGGGCTAGTGCTGGGCAGCTCTGGGGCAAAGCTAATAGTGGGGGGCTCTGGAGGGAGGGCTAGTGCTGGGCAGCTCTGGGGCAAAGCTAATACTGGGGGGCTCTGGAGGCGGGGCGAATGCCGGGGC